CGTCAGCCCCGGTAATATCGTAACCGATCATCACTGATGCTACGTCGTCCAGTTTGCAGTGTTGCAACCACAGCAGAACATCGTCTAAGCTCCAGTCCTACAAAATACGAGCTCATTCAGCGAAAGAAAATTCAATGCCCAAAAGAATGAGGATCAAGGTTTTCCAGCTAAGTGCATCTGATGGGCAGTAACTAGCCAGGATTATCACAACTTAGTCACTGATTAGGGCTTACAGTGATAGCTTCAAAAAATAAATTTCATCCCCTTTTTGCATGCCATACTGCCTCCTTGAAAAACAAAAACACTGAAGCTCTATTTTTAATATCAGTGCACTACGAAGTCGATATAAAGATGCGACCAGAGACTGACGTGTCTATATTTTTTGTGGTACGTTGCTGACTCACAATGACTGAGTGCGGTAAAATATACAGGAAATTTTTTTTTTACTTTTTAATGGCAGTTTTTTTTTTTGATTATTCATTGCACGATAAGATACAATCCAGTTACAAGGTAGAAACAGTGATATCACACTGCATACTATGACTGTTTGACACGGAACTAAGCCCCAAGGCCAAAATTGACTTTATATTTCTGAATCCGTGCAAGAAATGATGTTCTCAAATTTCAGCCTATAGCCTTCGTGACAAATGCATAAAAACGTACATGCATACGTACAAATCTACGTTGGAAATGGTGCCAGTTCAAATTATTAGCTACTGGAGCTATCACCACAGTAACCATAATCATTATATTAACCCGATCCATAAACATTATTATAATAAATACAACCAATGATATTCTGTTAACTAATGATAGCTCTTTCAGTTGTGGTCTGAATTATTCAGTCGTGGATTACGCAAATGATACGATAATGCTTACACAAGAGGTGGCAAAAGTATAAAAGTTTCAGTTACGAGTAATATTAACTTTGCATGTTTGTGTGGATTATGCGAGCGCTTGATCGTCAGACATCTTCTCTGTAAGCTTACTTAGCCTGTTCTTTTCACTGACTCAGACGGTAGTTTCAATATTATTTTAATTACTGCGGTTCACGACATTTCTTTGCTGTTTTTATAAAAATCCGTGACTGTAAACGAAACGGTAAAGCTTGAAAAACTACCGAGAGAGGTTTCTTTTTCCAGGCAGCGGCTTGTTTCTTTTCACGCGCTCTTCGATTTCGATTGTGTGCACGATGTGTTTCCATATTTTTGGG